ATTGTAAATATGTAAAAATTTCCCCCAAATGCATGTAATGAAATACTGATTAAAAATCACAGAATTAAAAATCACACAATTTGTGGAAATTGAAAAGACGATTCTAAAACTCATATGAAAATGCAAAGGTCCCAAAATAACCAAGGCAATCTTACTGAAGAATAATAAAACTGGAGGACTTTTGCTGCTGTGTATAGAAATCCATTATACTGGTACAGTGTTTAAGACAGTGAGATACTGGTGCAAGGGAAGACAAATGGACCGGTGGAATAGAATAGAGTCTGGTAATCAATCCTTGCATATATGGTGACCTGATTTATGACAATTATGCTACAGCAATGCTGTGATGCTGCCCCAAGTCAATTCCAGATAGAGACTCTGTAAATATTAAATAAAGTTTTTAGAGGGAACAGAAGAGAATACCTTCTTGACCTTGGAGGAGACAAAGATATACATTTTTAAAATATTTATTTATTTTTGAGAGAGAGAGCATGTGCAAGTGGGGGAGGGTTAGAAGGAAAGGGAGAGAGAGAATCTCAAGCAGACTCCCCACTGATATGGGGCTCGATCTCATGCCCCTGAGATCATGGCCTGAGCCGGATTCAAAAAGCGAATGCTCAACCGACGGAGCCATCCTGGCACCCTAAGACAAAGATATTTGTAACAGGACACAAGAAATATTAACCATAAAATAAAAATACCGCAAGTTGTAATATATTAAAATGAAGAACATTTTTCCAATGGCAACATTAAGGGACTGAAAATCAACCCACAGAATAAGAGAAGATACTTTCTTTTTTTTTTTTAAAGATTTTATTTATTTATTTGACAGAGAGAGATCACAAGTAGACAAAGAGGCAGGCGGAGAGGGAGAGAGGGAAGCAGGCTCCCCGCTGAGCAAAGAGCCCGATGTGGGACTCGATCCCAGGACCCTGAGATCATGACCTGAGCCAAAGGCAGAGGCTTAACCCACTGAGCCACCCAGGCGCCCCGTACTTTCTTTTTTTTTTTTTTAAAAAGATTCTATTTATTTATTTGACAGATCACAAGTAGGCAGAGAGGCAGGCAGAGAGAGAGAGAGAGAGAGAGAGAGGAAGGGAAGTCGGCTCCCTGTTGAGCAGAGAACCCCATGCATGGCTCGATCCCAGGACTCTGGGATCATGACCTGAGCCGAAGGCAGAGGCTTTAACCCACTGAGCCACCCAGGCGCCCCGAGAAGATACTTTCAATAGATATAGATCTATTCATCTATTGAATGGATCTGTATCTATAACTGATACAGGATTTATCTCCACAATGTACCAAAAAATAACTTCTAAAAATCAGTAAGAAAAATACACCTCAAAAGAAAAAATGACTGCTACCCACACATCAGAATGGCTACACTGAGAAGGAAAGATGATGCCAAGTACTGAGGTGGATGAAAAACAACTGGAACTCTACACTCCCCATAAATGTGTAAATTAGTACAATTACTTAAAAATAAACTTTATTGAGGTATGATTGGCATGTAAAAAGCTGTGCATATTTAATACATACAATTCAATGAGTTTGAGGATAAGTATACGTCTGTGAAACCATCACTATCAAGGCCATAGACATATCCATCACCTACCAGAGTTTCCTCCTACCTTCATCTTCTTCCTTCTTTTCTTCTTTTTTTTTTTTTTTAGATTTATTTATTTATTTGACAGACAGAGATCACAAGCACGCAGAGAGGGAAGGGGGAAGCAGGCTCCAGGCTGAGCAGAGAGCCCAATGCGGGGCTTGATCCCAGGACCCTGAGATCATGACCTGAGCCGAAGGCAGAGGCTTAACCCACTGAGCCACCCAGGTGCCCCCTCCTTCTTCTTTCTTTTCTTCTTCTTTTTTCTTCTTCTTTCTTCTTATCTACCCTCTAAGCAAGTTCGAAATATACACAACAGGATTGTTAGCTAGAGACAGTATGTTGTATAGATTTCCAGAATTATCTTTATCAATAAAATTTAACAATATTAATTCTTTATTTTTTTTTAAAGATTTTATTTATTTATTTGACAGAGAGAGATCACAAGTAGACGGAGAGGCAGGCAGAGAGAGAGAGGAGGAAGCAGGCTTCTTGCTGAGCAGAGAGCCCGATGTGGGACTCGATCCCAGGACCCTGAGATCATGACCTGAGCCGAAGGCAGCGGCTTAACCCACTGAGCCACCCAGGCGCCCCAACAATATTAATTCTTGATAATGTAACTTGTATAACTGTAATTTTGTAGCTCTTGAACATCACCTCCATGTTTCTTCCTCCCCAAGCCCCTGTCAACCACCATTTTACTCACTGCATCTATGATCTTGACTATTTTGGATTCTACATATAACTAAGAGATATAACTATCTGGCTTATTTCATCTGCCATAATGTCCTCCACGTTTTTCAATGTTGTCACAAATGGCAGGATTTCCTTCTTTTTAAAGGATGAATAATATTCCATTGTATGTTTGTGCCACAATGTACGTCCCTGCAAACTGTTTTCCATAGTGGCTGCACCAATTTACATTTCCACCAACACTACATAATGATTTCCTCTTCTCCACATCTTCACCAACACTTACCTTTTCCTTTTTTTCTTTTAATGATAGTCACTCTGACAGATGTGGGGTAATATTTCACTGTGTTTTGATTTGCATTTCCCTGGTGATCAGTGTTGTTAAGGACTTTTTCATGTACCTATTGGTCATTTGCATGCCTAGAAAAATGTCTATTCAGGAGCTTTGTCCATTTTTATTTTTTATTAAAGATTTCTTTTAATTTTTATTTATTTAACAGAGATCACAAATAGGCAGAGTAGCAGGAAGAGAGAGAGGAAGGGAAGCAGGCTCCCCACCAGGCAGAGAGCCTGATGCGGGGCTCGATCCCAGGATGCTGGGATCATGATCTGAGCCAAAAGCAGAGGCTTTAACCCACTGAGCCACCCAGGTGCCCTGCTTTGCCCATTTTAAAATTAAATATCTATAGATCTGAGCTCTTAAAAATTACAGGAGTTCCTTATTTTTTTTAATATTAACCCTTTATTGTATATATGATTTACAAATATTTTTTCCCTAATCTGTAGGTTGCCTTTTCATTTTGCTGACTTTTTTTTTCTATGAAGAACGTTTTGACTTTGAATTAGGCTCACTTGTTTATTTTTGCTTTTGCTGTTTGTGCTTTAAGTGTCTTATCCAAGAAATTATTGCCAAGACCAACACCAATGAGCTTTTTTCTGTTTTCTCCTAGGGGTTTTGTGGTTTTATGTCTCATGTTTAATTTTTAAATACATTTCGAGTTGATTTTTTGTGTATGGTATAAGAGTCCATAATTCCTTTGCATATGGTATCCTGTTTTTCCAGCACCATTTATCCAAGAAACTCTCCTTCCACATTACGAATTCCCGGCTCCCTTGTTAATGACTGTTTGACTGTATATGTGTGAGTTTATTTCTGGGTTCTCTATTCTGTTCCATTGATCTATGCGTGTGTTTTTATTCCAGGACCATGCTGTTTGATTACTATGGCTTTATAATATAATTTGAATTCAGGAAGTGTGATGCCTCCAACTTTATACTTCTTGCTTAAGATTGCTAGGTGCCTGGGTGGCTCAGTGGGTGAAAGCCTCTACCTTCAGCTCAGGTCATGATCTCAGGGTCCTGGGATCAAGCCCTGCATCAGGCTCTCTGCTCAGCAGGGAGCCTGCTTCCTCCTCTCTCTGCCAGCCTCTTGCCTGCTTGTGATTTGTCTCTGTCAAAGAAATAAATAAAATCTTTAAAAAAATTATTTAAGATTGCTTATTTGAAGGCTTTTGGGCTTCCATCTGAATTTTAGGATTTTTTTTCTATTTCTGTGAAAAATGTCACTGCAACATGATAGGGCTTGCATCGAATTAGTCCATCACTTTGGGTAGTATGGACATTTTAACAATATTCTTTCAATCCGTGAACACGAGATGTCATCCCATTTATTTTTGTGTTTTCTTCTATTTCTTTCATCAAGGATAATTTATGCACCTCCTTGGTTAAATTTGTTCCTACGTTTGTATTGTTTTGATGCTATTGTGAATGAGACTGTTTTCTTAAAAAAATTTTTTTTAAAGATTTTATTTATTTATTTGACAGAGAGAGAGAGAGAGATCACAAGCAGGCAGAGAGGCAGGCGGGGGGGGGGGCGGGAAGCAGGCTCCCTCCTGAGCAGAGAGCCCGATGCGGGCCTCGATCCCAGGACCCGGAGATCATGACCCCAGCCGAAGGCAGAGGCTTTAACCCACTGAGCCACCCAGGCGCCCTTCTTAAAAAAGTTTTTAGACAGTTTGTTAGCGTACAGAAACACAGTTGAGTTTTGTTGAGTTTTGTTGATTTTGTATCCTGCAACTTTAATAAATCTGTTTATTCCACCTTTTTTGGTGGAGTCTTTAGGGTTTCCTACATATAGGATTCCGCCTCCTTTAACAGTTAAGCACATTTGCATTTTTCTCCATAAAGAGAAAAGTAAGTTACAGAGACTCTAGGAAGAAGCAATGTTCTCTCAGAGGAACCCTCCGTCACCAGCAGCCTGCACCTGCACGCTCCTGGGGGCTGGAACTCCCACAAATCTCTGGGCTGAGCTCCATTAGGGGCGGACCCAAGTTGCACGCTGGGAACAATCTGAAACCGCAGAACGCTGGGCTTCGGAAGCGTTTCCACTTTGGGACTGCATTTCCCAGCGGCCACCACCGGGAGTCAGCGACCACTTCCGGCCATCCCGGGGTCGTCGTCGTCGTGGTGGGGCGAGGCCGTCAGGTCGAGAAAGGAGTCGGGGGCTGCTAGAGAGAGTCCTCTGCTGAGCAGGACCCCAGCCGGAGGGATCCGCCAGTGTGGGTGGGCAGACAGAGGCGCTCAGGACAGGGAGCTCACAAGCACCCGAAGGACCCTCGCCTGAGCGTGCGCGCGCAGCGAGGAGGGGATTGTGCGACCGCCAGAGGCGGACGTGGAGGTTGGGGGTAGGGGGGAGGCTGCGTGAGGGCGCTCCTGGTGCTGAGGTGCTGTGGTGACGGGAGAGGGGGCGTGGGGACACTGAGCGTGCTTTGCTGTGGCTGTGTGTGTGTGTGTTTCACTGGGATCAGTGGGCCCTCCGCTTCCGCCGTTTTCTCCCCTCCCAGCCACGTGGCTGTAGCCTACCAATGGCCCCAGTAGGGAGGTCGGATACTGTCCCTAGAATGAAAGTTTCCCCGTGAAAGCCCAGGCCTGGACTTGGAATAGGAGTTTTAGAGCTGCAAGTGCCTGTCTGCGTCCCGCACGGGGGCAGCTCCATGTTCAGAACCACCGCATTTTCAGAGTACTGTCCCCAGGAACCAGCTTCCATCTCGGGGACCTATTGCTCCTTTTATTCCCATCCTATTTTGTGCGAAGTAAGGGAGATGTGACCCTGGAGGGTGCTTTCAAATTTAGTCTGCCGTCCAAGAAAAGTCTGGGGTCTCATGCTCTTCTTTTCCTTCCCCTTCTACCATTATCCATAAGGACCCCGGGAAGGATGAGAGTATTATTATTGCTGCACGTCAAAGTCAAGGGTGAGTTCTGCTTTGTTTTGCATAAGAAAGGCATTTTTGTTTTTAGAATATAGAGGTTCCAGTAAATTTTCAGGAAATGTAGGGAGACCTGCAAATTGATACCCCACCATTTGGTCCCCCGTTGCCTCTCACCTCTTCACTTAATATTCACTTGGTAAATAATTAGATACACCAAAAACTGTTTGGTAAATGTGTTCACATCTTCTTGAGCACTCCCATTTTTCTAAGATGACACGGAAATAAACCTCCAGCGATTAATGCTAAAGCTTAATTTTAGACTCTGATTTGGTAAGAAGGAAATCAGTGTTCAGGTAGAGTCACACACTGGATATCTTTTGCTCTGTAAGGGCCTGCTTTTGGAAGAAGAGAAGAATGGAGATGGTTAGCTGATTTCAGTCAGTCTGAGGCTTTCAGAAAAGGGAAAGTGCTAGCCACAGAAGTCGGTATTGGTAAGAGCCAGGGTTTTTCCAGGGAGTTCCATCAGTTGGAATTTGTATCATTGGCCACATCTGTTTGAAGTTTGGCAGCTCGAGTTGTGCCTTGGGCGTCCTTTTGCATGGACCGTGAGAAGCGATACTGTGTGGTTGAGAGTAGGGGCTGTGGACCCAGAGTATCTGGGTTGGAATATTGTGGCTCTTTGTGGCTGTCTCAGGTTTGTAATGAATGTTAGATGAGTTAATATGTATAAAGCCCCTTAGAGCAGTGCCAGGCTTACAGTAAGTGCTTGGTAACGTTTTAGCTGTTGTCTGTGTGTGTTTTTGCTCATTTTTCTCAATTTCTATACAACGTGGGCCTTGGGAATATGTGATCCATGATTGCTGCCTGCATGTTAAGGAGTGAGATGCTCAGGCGATATAAAAATTCTTGGGGCACCAATGTGGCTCAGTTGGTTAAGCATCTGACTCCTGATTTCAGCTCAGGTTGTGGTCTCAGGAGTTGTGGGATCAAGCCCTGTGTGGGGCTCCATGCTGGGCATTGAACCTGCTTAAGATTTTCTTGCTCTCCCTCTGCCTCTCCCTCCCCTTCTGTCTCCCTCTCTTAAGAAAAAAAAGAATAAAAGTGCTTAACCTGAGTTGCTGTGACTCCATTTGTGGTTTCAGGGGACGACAAATCCTTTCAAATAGTATACGAAAGTGTTATGGTGGATTTGGTGGGGGAAGTGTATAGTTTCATGAGATTATTCGAAGCATGCATGACCTAAAAGGCTTGGACTCGATCTGTGTAGATCAGTAGTTCCTAACGGGGTGATTCTGCCCTCCAGGAGGCATTGGTGGTATTTAGAGGGAGCTTTGGTTCCCACACTGGGGGCCAATGATAGTTGGATCAAATAAGTAGAGGACAGAGATGCTACGAACATTTTACAGTGTGCAGGAGAGCCCTCCCCACCCTCCTCCCCGCCCCACCCCGGAAACAAAGACTTTCCTGGTTTAATATGGCATTAATGCAGAGGATGAGAAACCCGGGAGTGCTATTTAAAATGATCTTGTACAAACTGAGTAGTTAAGCAAATCACACTAGATTCGTGATGGAGTATTATGCACTTAGGAAAATTACGTTCATAAATAATCATGAAAAGAGAAAACATTTGCTCTCGTGTTAAGCAGTATTCATGTTAGGGACAGTAATACTCAGGAAGATGTATATGAGTCCCATTTACTAAGCGAGGGCATTCTGTAAGGATTCTCTCCAAAATGATGTTTTCATCAGTTTCTTAAGAAAACCATGCCTGGTACTGTGTATATGCGTATGATTTTCTTACTCAGTCTGTAGGTGCCACTTACCTGCCTTGTGTTTTTTCAGAAAAGAATCTTGATCATGGAAATTTCTGATTGTCTTGGTGAGATACAGGTAAAGGAGGTTAGAACTGGTTGCTGTTACTTGTGATAGTCACATTGATTTGTCGACTCTCATGCAAGCTCGACTCTCCTGACTCTCCTGACTCTCCTGACTCTCCTGACTCTCCTGACGAGCTCTGTTCTTTAATGACTGAAAGTACCCACTTCCTGATAGCTCTCTTTTTGTTTTTATGGTTTAATTTGGAAGTAGCTTTACTGTGGGTCTTTGTTTGTTTGTTTTGGGTTTTGTTTGTTTTAGAGAGACAGCCTGAAGCAGGGGGAGGGAGGGGCAGAGAGAGAGAGAAAAATCTTCTGCTTCAGGCTCAGTGTGGAGCCCCATTCTGGGCTTGATCTCACAACTCTGAGATCATGACTTGAGCCATAATCAAGAGTTGGATACTTAATTGACTGAGCCACCCACGCGCCCCTTTATTGTCTATTTTTGATGATGGAATAGTGCAAAACTTATTTTTAAGGAACTTAAGAAAGTTAAAATTACAATACCACCCTCTAGGGGTAGTCATTATCTATGCCTTGGTTTATATTTTTCCAATTATTTTTTTGTGTGAATACGAGCGTTTTGTTTCTGTAGAATAGAATCAGAATCAGTTCAAAAAACAAATCAAGCGATTGTTTTCATTCATTTCTGGGCCTGTGAGAGAGGGCATAACACCATTGCCTCTCTCTGAGGCTTCTGGCCTGGAAGACTCCTTTTCTCCTTGTCTTTCTGAGAACCCTCTTTGCTAATGTGATTCTTTAAGAATTTCATTCTCCAAGTTAAGCTCTGAATATTTTTGGTTAGCATTCTAAAAAAGAACAGGCCTTACACTATATTTTGTTGTATGACTTACACAAGGAAAAGGGAAACCGTGGAGTTAAGTTTCTTTAACAAACGTAATCTTTACCCTCAGTTAATATGTGTCATTATGCATTTCCATTGAATTCTCTTAGTATTTTTTTAGGTTTCTTATTTCTGCAGCACAGAAGTCTGAACAAGAGTAACTTTAGAGCAGAGGTTGACAGAGCCCAATCAGAAAAAGTCATCTCATGTACTTTGAACGTTTACAGGAAAGACACCTCTTTTGGGCTATAGTGTCACCACGCTTTGACCAAATTATAAGCCCATGGAATTTCTATAGAGTTAAAGAAACTGTTGGAAAATTTGTACCTTACTTAGAAATTCTAAATCTGTTAAATGCAAAGTGATTAATAGTAGAAGATGATACAGTGGCTGTGTAGGGAATATCGTAGCCAAAATAATAGTTTTATTATTAATTAAACTTTTAAAAAAAGATTTTGTTTATTTATTTGACAGAGAGAAACACAGCAAGAGAGAGAACACAAGCAGGGAGATTGGGAAAGGGAGAAGCAGGCCTCCTGCCGAGTGGGGAGTCCGATGCGGGGCTTGATCCCAGGACCCTGGGATCATGACCTGAGCCAAAGGCAGACGTGTAATGACTGAGCCACCCAGGTGTCCCCGAAGTAATAGTTTTAGAGACATAATAAGCTTTTCTGTTAAGAGGACATGTGAGACTATCAAATGTATACAGGACATTGCTCGGGGCTTACAGACATTTTTCCTACAAATTATTGTAACCTGCTCAGATAAATATAGATATTTTAGTGTTGATTCAAGAACTGGGAAATAGGGGCGCCTGGGTGGCTCAATGGGTTAAAGCCTCTGCCTTCGGCTCAGGTCGTGATCCCGGGGTCCTGGGATTGATCCCCGCATTGGGCTCTCTGCTCAGTAGGGAGCCTGCTTCCTCCTCTCTCTCTGCCTGCTTCTCTACCTACTTGTGATCTCCATCTGTCAAATAAATAAATAAAATCTTAAAAAAAAAAAAGAATTGGGAAATAAAGGAAACAAACCCATTAAGTAAAAACAAGAGTTTATTAGAATATCTTGAGTTTTTCCAAGTTCATAGGGAAGTTAAGTAAAAGTTTGTCTTTCATCTGATTTAGAGAACAGCTTCCTCATAGGAAAAAGTACATATAAATGTACACATACATATATGTTTGTGTTAATGAATATAACTATATATACATTCCAAGTTGCCAAGGCACCATAGTTGCAATTGTGAAGCACTCTTAAGCAAAAAGTAGAGAATTGGAGCCACAATATGGTGACAAGAACTGTTAACGTGAAATGTAATTTTCCAGAATTTTTTTCTGTCAATGTCTGTTAGTCTTTACATATATATACATGTTTTATAGATGTAATCATATTCTGCATCCTGTTTTGTAACATGAGTTTTCTGCTGACCATGTATCTTGAGCATGTAATGATTACTTAGTATTCTGTTATGAGAATGCCCTGCCCTGTGTAACCGGCTGGCTTTGGTGGACTTAGAAAGCCAAACTCTGCCTGAGTAATTCCATTTACATCCTTCTCAGTTTTCATGCCTTGCCCCACTTCTCCCAATTCTGAGTTCACAAAGAGGTTCTGATGTGGATGATGTGACCCATTCTCAGCCCTGAAAGGTGGGATGGCAGAGGAGGATCTGCACAGAGCAGGATAGGGGGGCCCAGTCCTAGGCCTAGTCGTGCGTCCCAAGATTGGAGGATCCCTCATGCTAAGATATTTTGGAGGACAGCATGTTCCCCGGGGCTTGGGAGAGCTTGATTTCGTCCAGACTCCTCATGTTTGAGGCCACTTTTTATGGGGGATGGGAGGGAAAGGCAGAGGGATGGAGGGAAAGGGAGATTGTGTGAAGCAGAGAGGGATAAAAGAGGAATTTTAGGGAGTAGTTGAGACATAAAAATGGGAGAAAAAATTGTTGTATTAATATGAGTCACTTAGAGAGCACCAAAGCACAGCCTGGCTTAGTCCTTCTTTGTTTTTTCTCTCTCTCTAGGAGGGGAAGCATGAGGAAGATGGACCAGTTTTGTCATTCTAAAAACATGGCCTATGTAAGTTGATATTTCTTCTCCCGAAATATAATGACTTTTTTTTTTTAGCCATTCCCCACCATGCGGGTATCAGTAGGTCATCCCACAGCACCCAGTGAGTGTGCTGTGCAGCCACAAGATGCTTCAGGAACCGGCAGGCACGCTGAGAAGCGGCATATTTTCCCTGTCCTGCATGGCGGTTCTTCACCTCCTCTCTCTTCACCTTGCGGTAATTTCCTTCAGTTTCACGGTAATGCATGTGTGTGTGGTTTCAGGGATCTCTGTCATTCGGGGATGTGGCCATCAGCTTCTCCCAAGAGGAGTGGGAGTATCTGAACCCTGCTCAGAAGGCCTTGTACAGGGACGTGATGTTGGAGACCTACAGCAACCTGGTCTCCCTGGGTAAGACTGTCCTGCAGTAGTAGTTCATTCTAAAGATTTATATTACAATAAAGGTATGCCTTGGTTAAGCGTCTGCCTTCAGCTCCGGTCACGATCCCGGGATCCTGGGATCCAGCCCCGCACTGAGCTCCCTGCTCATTGGGGAGCCTGGTTCTCTTTCCCCCGACCCTGCCCAGTGCTCTTGCTTGCTCTCTCTGTCTCTCTTTTTCTCAAATAAATAAATAAAAATCTTTAACTAATATTACAATGAAATTGGTATTGAACAGTTATAGTTAATAATTTAAATTTTAATAATTAATTTTGTAATTTAAAACAATTAATAATTTAATAAAGTATTAATGTCTCTTCTCTGGAACATCAGCTTGCTTCACCGTGAGTTTCAGGGCCATCTTTTAAGAAATAGCTGAGTTCCTTCTTGTTCCCAGAGGAAATCATTTGGAATTTGTCAGATTGAAAATGGGCCTGTCTGTTTTTACAAATTTAGGGGCACCTGGGTGGCTCAATTTGTTAAGCGTCTGACTCTTCGTTTCAACTCAGGTCATGATCTCAGGGTCATGAGATTGAGCTCTGTGTCGGGCTCCACACTGGGTGAGGAGTCTGCTTGAGATTTTCTTTCTCCTTCTCCCCTGCCCCCTCTAAAAAAATATTACTACAGACTTAACCAGATCTCAACCAAAGGTTTTTGGTTTGTTTTGTTTTGTGGGGTTTTTTTTGTTTGTTTGTTTGTTTTTGAATATTTAAAAAAATTTTTTCAGGATGCCTCGGTGGCTCAGTCAGTTAAGCGTCTACCTTCAGCTCAGGTCACTTATCCCAGCGTCCTGGGATCGAGCCCCGCATCGGGCTCCACACTGAGCATGAAGCCTAAAATTTTTTTTTTCTGTCTCTCTGCCCCTCCCTCTCCCTGCTTATACTGTCTCTCTAAAACAAACAAACAGGGCACCTAGGTGGCTCAGTGGGTTGGGCCGCTGCCTTTGACTTGGGTCATGATCTCAGGGTCCTGGAATCAAGTCCCGTATCAGGCTCTCTCCTCAGCAGGAAGCCTGCTTCCCTCTCTCTCTCTCTCTCTCTGTCTGCCTCTCTGCCTGCTTGTGATCTCTCTCTGTCAAATAAATAAAATCTTAAAAATAAATAAAAATAAAACAGAACCCCACAATAAAGCAACTTCCAAATTAAACCACAAAAACAAAAACAGAGCTATCAGGAAGTGGGTACTTTCAATCATTAAAGAACTGAGCTTGTCATGAGAGTTGACAAATCAGTGTGACTATCGCAAGTAACAGCAACCAGTTCTAACCTCCTTTACCTGTATCTCACCAAGATAATCAGAAATTTCCATGATCAAGATTCTTTTCTGAAAGAACACAAGGCAGATAAGTGGCACCTGCAGACTGAGTAAGAAAATCCATGTGCATATACACCGTACCAGGCTTGGGTTTCTTCATTAAGAAACTGATGAGCCTGTTTCTCCTTCTGCTTGCTGCTCCCCCTTCTTGTGCTCTCTCTCTCTGACCAATAAATAAAATCTTAAAAATAAATAAATTTCTACACCATATGTCATGTCATTTCTCTTTTTGTTTGTTTGTTTTTAAGCAGAAAGTTCCATTTCTAAGCCAGATATGATTACCTTACTGGAGCAGGAGAAAGAACCTTGGATGGTTTTGAGGAGAGAAACAAGTGGATGGTACCCAGGTGAGTAGAGGAAAAGCTGGCAGAGAGGAGCAGGAGGGTCAGAGAGGGGTCATACCCCTGAGATGTGGTTTGGAAAAATGCCTTCAAAGACCCAAGGCCTGTTGGATAAAAATGCCCGAGATCTGAGAAGGAAATAAAGATCACACAGCATGGGCTCTCACAGGAACTCCATCTTTTGCTAATTATCTCTAAGTTTTGTCCTTTTATTTCCTCTCCTTTCAGTGGAGTGAACTTTTTTTTTTTAAAGATTTTATTTATTTATTAGAGATCGCACGCACATGAGCAGAGGGAGAGGGAGAACCCCAACCAGACTTCCACACTGAGTGCGGAGCCTGCCGAAGGGCTTGATCCCACGACCCTGAGACCATGACCTGAGCCAAAATCGTCAGACACTTAACTGACTGAGTCACCCAGACACCCCCCCCGCAGTGTAATCTTTTAACATATATTTTGCATCCATCTGCTTTCTAGCTCTGCTTTTGCATTTAAATTTCTAAGATTTATTTATTTATTTATTTGACAGAGAGATCACAAGTAGGCAGAGAGGCAGGGAGAGAGAGAGAGAGAGAGAGAGGAGGAAGCAGGCTCCTCCCCACTGAGCATAGAGCCCGAAGTGGGGCTCGATCCCAGGACCCTGGGATCATGACCTGAGCCGAAGGCAGAGTTTTTTTTTTTGTTTTGTTTTGTTTTTAAAGAATCACCCCCAGGTGATTCTGATGTAGCTGAAGTTTGAGAACAACGGGTCTAGGAATTTTTTTTTTTTTTTTTTAAGATTTTATTTATTTGACAGATCACAAGTAGAGAGAGAGAGGAGGAAGCAGGCTCCCTGCCTGGCAGAGAGCCCGATGCGGGACTTGATCCCAGGACCCTGAGATCATTACCTGAGCTAAAGGCAGAGGCTTAACCCACTGAGCCACCCAGGCAGCCCGAAGGCAGAGGTTTTAAACCCCTGAGCCAATATGTGTTTCTAGGATCTAAAAAATGTTTTCATATATTCAGCAAATATTTATTGAGGGTCCACTCCAAGCAAAGCACTTTGCTTGGCACTGTCTGTACAGTGAAATGATCATGTGAGCATGAGCATTTCTGCCCTTGGCAAGAAAGACACGGATCAGTCAAGTAAGCAGATGAGTAAGTCAGTACTGTTGGGAATGATGCTGTGCAGACAGGTGTACAGGAACAGTGCGGGGAGAATGACAGGGTTGGGTGGTTAGGGAGCATGACTTGAAGTGGGCGTGCTTGCACAGAGTCGTGAAGGAAGGGTTCAGGCCACAAATCTGGGCAGGAGCATTCTAGTCTGAGCAGGACACACAGAGGTCCTGAGCAGGAAATGGTCTCTTTATTCCTGGGAGCAGTAAGAAGTTTCGAGCCAAAGAGACAAAGGGATGGTGGGAAGGGAGGTCTGGGAGTTAGGCCAGGACCAGATCCTACAAGGTTCTGATTATCATTGTGAAGAACACAGAATGTGTTCTAAGAGTTACTTAGAGCCATGTTCTATGTTGAGAGTGTTCCTCACTTCTTAGTTTTTAAATAAACTAAGTATGACAAGGACACAGAAAACTGCAACACAGAGAATTGCATGATTAAAAGTACCTACACTTGTGGGGCGCCTGGGTGGCTCAGTGGGTTAAAGCCTCTGCTTTCAGCTCAGGTCATGGTCCCAGGGTCCTGGGATGGAGCCCCGCATCGGGCTCTCTGCTCAGCGGGGAGCCTGCTTCCCACTCTCTCTCTGCCTGCCTCTCTGCCTACCTGTGATCTCTGTCAAATAAATAAAAATTTAAAAATATATAAAAAAAATAAAAATAAAAGTACCTACACTTGTAACCACCAGGCCGTGAGTCACAATTTTGCCAGCTGTTCTGGAAGCCTGTTGTGGGTTTCTTTGCACTCACAGACTTTCCCCTCCCTGCAGGAAAGGTTTTCTCTAGGGTTTTATTGTCTGAGTGAACATCTCCAGTCTGATTTCATTTTACCTATCGTTTTAAAAAGTCTTTTAAGTCTCTTTTAGATGAAAGGTTCCTCTTTGTTTTTTTGTGAACTGTTTTTTTCTTCATTAAATTAGAGCATTTGTCCTGTAGTTTCAGACCATCTGGATTTTGCTGACGACATCTTGGTGTTATGGAGGAACATGTTCCTCTGTCTCCTCTTACGGGTCCAGAACCTTAATCAAACTTTTGGGAAACCTTTTTTCCCCCTAGGTGTTGGTGACACTCTTCAGTCCGTTGACATGTGATGTCTGGATTTCTTGTTCTAGTGTTAGCAGCAGCCACTGACAGGCAATACTATGTCCCTTAATTCGTCAGAGGTTGTAAATTGGTGGATATTCGAATTCTGTCATTTATTCTTTATTAGCTGGAATGCATGTGTAAAAAGAAACTTCACCCTATTTACTACTCAGTTACTCAGTTGTACAGCTCATATGAAAATTGAAGATAAATATTCTTTTCCTTTGTTTACTAATTTTCTAAATAACGTGTTGGTTTCTTACATCCTTTCAAAGGTGACCCTTTTGGGGGGCACCTGGGTGACTCAGACGGTTAAGCGGCCGAGTCTTCATTTTGGCTCAGGTCGTGATCTCAAGGTCCTGGGATCAAGCCCCGTGTTGGGCTCCCTGCTCAGTGGGGAGCCTGGTTCTCCTTCTGCCCCCCAAGCTTGTTTTCTCTCTCTCTCTCAAATAAATTAATAAAACCTTTAAAAAACAAGAAAGAAAACTAGATTCACTGGTTGTGAACATTTGGCCACCTTTGCTGTATGTATTTATGTATCTAAATGTTTGAAACCTTTTTTGCTGAACCACTTGTAGGTCTAAGTCACTGATGTTTTGACATGTGGTACCTAAACATTTCACTTTGTATCTTCTAAGAATAGGAAAGGTCCTAATAACCTTTCATTATTCCTAATTAGCTTCATTATCTTAATTAACCTAAATAAACATACCATTGTCACACCTAAGAAAATCACCCTATTTCAGGAGTATCATCTGCAGCTCACAGCTCACAGCTCATAGCTCACAGCTAAATTTCTCTCATTTCTCTTTAAAACTTTCGTTTATTTGGTTTTGTGGGAGTGTGTTTCAATTTAAGATCCAGTCAAAGTTCATGAATTGATTTATGGATCGGTTTCTTTTTAAAACATTTTTGTTTACTTTTACTTTTTTTTTTTTTTTTTTTTTTTTTTTACTGTTAGGCTTTTTTAGTTATCTGAAGCGCTTCTGTGCCATAAAATTTATTTAAATTTAATTTTTTTTTTAATTTGGCTTTTATCTCTCTCTCTTTTTCTGAGTCCAGGCTTGTTTACCTAAACTATGACATTCTGAATTTTTTTTTTTAAGATTTTATTTATCTATTTGACAGAGATCACAAGTAGGCAGAGAGGCAGGCAGAAAGAGAGGAGGAAGCAGGCTCCCTGCTGAGCAGAGAGCCCAGTGCAGGGCTCAATCCCAGGACCCTGGGATCATGACCTGAGCCAAAGGCAGAGGCTTTAACCCACTGAGCCACCCAGGCACCCCTGATTGGTTCTTTTTAATATTTACTGTTTGTTTTCAAAGGTCTCACTAAGATCATCCACTCTTTACTCAAGTCTAGTGAGTATCTTTATGATCATCACTTTGAATTCTTTATCAGGTACCTTGCTTATCTCTGTTTCATTCAGCTCGTTTGCTGTGATTCTGTCCTGTTCTTTCGTTTGGCACATTTTCCACTGTCTTCTCATTTTATATAACTCTGTTTCGTGTATTAGGAAAGTCAGTTACAGCTCTTGATCTTGAAAATAGTGACCTCGGGGCACCTGGGTGGCTCAGTGGGTTGAGTGTCTACCTTCAGCTCAGGTCATGAACCCAGGGTCCTGGGATCAAGTCTGCATCGGGCTTCCTGCTCAGCAGGGAGTCTGCTTCTCCCTCTGCTGCTCCCCCTGCTTGTGCTTGCTCTCTCTGTCAAATAAAACAGCAGAGCCTCTTTTGCTTTCAGCCCGTTGGTGGCAATGGCTCACTTTGCCTGTTCTGGGTAAGGTTTGGTCTCTGTGCTTTTAAGGGGTCTGTTGGGGGCCACTAGGGGCTTGCAGATCGGTGGTGTCAGCAGTCAGACTCGATGCCTGCTCTCAGCCTATCTACTGGGACTGTAGTTGCACCACCTTGCAAGGCACTCTCTCTGCCTTTCCCCCTGAGAGGGGGCCAAGTTCCCTTGCTCACTGGTAGGCAGGACTGGCAGTCACACTGCCTGCTCCTAGACCATCTGCCAGGGCTGAAGGTGCACTGATCAGCAGGGTACTCTCCATACCGCTAGCTCTAAAGTTTGGTTGCTGGAACTGTGGGTACACTGGTGTGTGTGCTTATCCTTCCCCTGACCACAAAGCAGGAGTCTCTTTGGAGTGGCACTTGTCCCGACTGGGGCTGCTTGGAAGGTGTGTTGGGGCCGGAGCCTCTCTGGAGTGCAGTGGGTTGGATGGGACAGATCCTCAGGAGGATGCGAAGGTGGGGCATGCAGTGCTAGAAGGGTAGGTGCTGCATGTTTACACTGGTTTCCTAAAGCTTCCAGCTATCTAGGTGGTGACTGGGGGTGGGCAGGGAATGGTTCCTGCTGGCTCTTTTGTTCTTGGGGAAGTTTCCCAAAGATCCGTGTCCCTCCAGCACACATTCTGAGATTAGTAAATAAATGTTCTTCATGTATACCCCCAGGTGCTTTTTCAGACTGCTTATTCTATGTTGTTATCTGAGCAGGTTGTTATGCTGGCTCTAAAAGGATAGGGACTCGAGTTTCCTGTCACCCTCTGGCTCTCTCCCAGAACCAAACCTGCTGATTTTTAAAGTAACCAGAGTTAAGCCCCACTGATTGTAAAAACTCGTGAAGTTAAGTCCCACTGGTTTTCAAAACCAAATGTAACGGGACTCATCTTCCCAATGTGGGTCCCCCATTCCTGGGGTGCCTGGTGTGAAATCTGATCCTCTTCTTTGTGTTTGTGGTGTCCCTCCTGTTTGTGGTTATTCTCACTGGGGGTTTGGTTCCCAACTTCATCTCCACCCCTTCTACCCTTTTTGATGTGGCCTGGTCTATGCTATTACCTGTGGAAAGTCTGTTCTGCCATTCTCAGGTCATTTTCATAGTTGCACTGTTGTGGCTGTTATCTTGGTGTGTCTGTGGCAGGAAGTGAGCCCAGGATCCTTCTAATCCACCATCTTTCAGAACTCTCCCTATATCCTCTATATTTTTGTTGAGATTTTCTATTTTTCCATTTGTTTCAAGAGTATTTGTGTTTGCTTATTGGAACATTTGCGTAATTATGGTTTTAAAGTCTTTGTCAGGTAATTCAAACACCTGTTAATCTCAGTGTTGGCATCTGTTGATTTTCTTTTACATTGTGATATATTTCGGCAGGTGCTCAACCTAGTTAAGGTTCCAGCTTCAAGTTTCTACCTGTTTTCTGTGGTTTGTTTTCCCATAGTGACATATACATGACCAGTGGGGCTCAGATGTGCGTTTGTTCCCATTTGAAACAAATAATCTGAGAATGGTTCAATTTATCAACTTCAGTAGTTTTGAATGAGTGATTATTATGATAAGCCTTTCCCAGTGGCTCATTTTTGCATTATATACCTTTATTCTCAGCCTTACTTCTTTTATCAGTACTTTTCCAATTACTTAACACCTACTGTGTGCTATGGGCTTATTATTCAGTGGTGAATTCTATGAGAATTGTGTCTCCTCCTAGGCAGATTTAGGAATAAGAAAATATACAGAATGAGAAATGAGCTATTGAATGAGTAAACATATAATTAAAACAGAATTGTGAAGGCAAGGAATGAGACTTTTGAATAGAGAATAAAGGAGAGGGATATAATTAGATGGGCCCAGCAGGAAGGCATTTCTTTTGAGTGTTAAAAATGAGACTGTTGTCTCCCACAAGCAACAAATGCCACAGGATTCTTGTGTGATGGATGAAACAGTCTGACCAAAGCATGAAGATACTGAAGAAATCACTATAATGTTCGGAGCACTAAAAGAAGGCAGTGGGGTAGAAATAGGGTCCAAAGGATGACAGTGGCTTCATAGGTCTTGTTATCTGTGGTAAGGGTTTTGGATTTTATTATAAGAGTAAAGACTAGCCATTCAAAACAGTTTTTAAGTGTGGATCCTTGAACTTTGATCTGCATCACGATTATCTGATAGAGATGTTAAAATTACAGCATCTTAGGACTTATTCCTAAAAATTCTGATTCTTTGCATCTGAGTTGCTTGAATATCAATACTTTTAACAAGCCTACCAAAGGATTTTGATTAACACCTAAATTTCACAGTTCATCCCTTCCCATATTATGAGCATCACCATCTAACGTAAACTTTCTGCATTTTCGGAGCTCTTCTTAATCCTTTTCCAAATACTCTGGAAGTGTATTTTATATACTTCACTATATATTTAAAAAAATTTTTTCTAAGACAATTATCATATGATCTGTCTGATATGAGAAATTTGAGAGAGAAGGCAGAGGTTTGGGGGGTAGGGAAGGAGAAAATGAAACAAGATGGTATCAGGAGGGAGACAAACCATAAGAGACTCTTAATCTCACAAAACAAACTGAGGGTTGCTGGGGGGAGGAGAGTAGGGAGAGGGTAGTTGGGTTATGGACATTGGGGAGGGTATGTGCTATGGTGAGTGCTGTAAAATGTGAAAGCCTGACGATTCACAGACCTGTACCCCTGGGGCAAATAATACATTTACATGTTAATAAAAATAATAATAATAAATAATCCAAAAAATTTTTTTCTATATGTATATATATTTTTAGAGTTATATACTCTTCAGTGGATTTTGTACATATGTGTACAGGAAGATAAAATGTGTTTGCTTTCTCCTTTTCTTTCAGATTTGGAGTCAAATTATGGAGCTGAGAAGTTACCTTCAGAAAATTATATTTATGAAATAAATTTGCCTAAACTGGGTATAAAACAAATAAGTAAAACTCTTGGCCTCAAGGCCTCCAATTTTAGAAATGACTCAGATAGCAAAAATAGATTTAGGGAACAACAGGGGCATCAAGAGGGGTATATCAGTCAAAATATAATAAGCTATGAAAAAATGCCTACTTCTACTCATAGTACTTCTCCTATTCACACTACAGATAAGCCATATGAATGTAAGGAGTGTGGAAAGTACTTTAGTCGTGGTTCAAATCTTATTCAGCATCAGAGTATCCATACTGGAGAGAAACCCTATGAATGTAAGGAATGTGGGAAGGCCTTTAGACTTCTTGTCCAACTTACTCGACATCAGAAATTTCATACTGGTGAGAAACCCTTTAAATGTAAGGAATGTGGGAAAGCTTTTAGTCTTCCCACCCAGCTGACTTGCCATGAGAATATTCATACAGGTGAGAGGCCATTTGAGTGTAAGGAATGTGGGAAGTCCTTTAATCGTGTGTCAAACCTTGTTCAACATCAGAGTATTCATACAGGTGCAAAACCATATGGATGTAAAGAGTGTGGGAAAGGCTTTAATCGTGGTTCAAATCTTGTTCAGCATCAGAAAATTCATTCTAGTGAGAAACCCTTTTTATGTAAGGAGTGTGGGAAGGCCTTTAAATACCATTACCAACTTACTGAACATTGTCGGATTCATACTGGTGAGAAACCCTTCGAATGTAAAGAATGTGGGAAGGCCTTCAGTCTTCTGATTGAGCTTGCACGACATCAGAACACTCATAGTGGTGAGAAACCATTTAAATGTAAGGAATGTGGCAAGGCCTTCAGTCGTGGCTCAAATCTCATTCAACATCAGAGTATTCATACTGGTGAGAAACCATATGGGTGTAAGGAATGTGGAAAGGTTTTTCGACTTCACCTTCAGCTTTCTCGACATCAGAAAACTCATACTGGTGAGAAACCCTTTGAATGTAAGGAATGTGGGACAACCTTCCAGTATCAGTACCAGCTTAGTGAGCATCAGCGAATTCATACAGGTGTGAAACCGTATGAATGTAAGGAATGTGGGAAATTGTTTCGTCGTGGTTCAAACCTTATTCAACACCGGAGTGTTCATACTGGAAAGAAACCTTTTGAATGTGAAGAATGTGGGAAGGCCTTTAGACTCCATATACAACTCATTCGACATCAGAAATTTCATACTGGTGAGAAGCCCTTTGAATGTAAGAAATGTGGAAAAGCCTTTAGTCTTCTCACTCAGCTTAATCGCCATGAAAGTATTCATACAGGTGAGAAGCCATTTGAGTGTAAGGAATGTGGGAAGTCCTTTAATCGTGTGTCAAACCTTGTTCAACATCAGAGTATTCATGCTGGCATGAAACCATATGAATGTAAAGAGTGTGGAAAAGGCTTTAATCGTGGTTCAAATCTTATTCAGCATCAGAAAATTCATTCTAGTGAGAAACCCTTTGAATGTAAGGAATGTGGGAAGGCCTTTAGGTATCATTACCGACTTATTGAACATCATAGAATGCATACTGGTGAGAAACCCTTTGAATGTAAGGAATGTGGGAAGGCCTTTAGTCTTCTGACACAGCTTACTCGACATCAGAACATTCATACTGGTGAGAAACCATTTAAATGTAAGGAATGTGGTAAGGCCTTTAATCGTGGCTCAAATCTTGTTCAACATCAGAGTATTCATACCGGGGAGAAACCCTATGGATGTAAAGAATGTGGAAAGGCTTTTAGACTTCACCTACAACTTTCTCGACATCAGAAAACACATACTGGTGAGAAACCCTTTGAATGTAAGGAATGTGGGACAAGCTTCAGACATCAATACCAACTTATTGAGCATCAGCGAATTCATACAGGTGTGAAACCCTATGAATGTAAGGAATGTGGAAAGAGCTTTAGTCGTGGTACAGACCTTAGAGTACATCAGAGAATTCACACTGGTGAGAAACCCTTTGAATGTAAGGAATGTGGGAAGGCCTTTCAACATCATTACCAATTTCTTGGACATTACAGAATTCATACTGGTGAGAACCCCTATGAATGTAAGGAATGTGGGAAATGTTTTACTTGTGGTAGTGAACTTAGAGTACATCAGAGGATCCATACTGGTCAGAAGCCATATGAATGTAAGGAGTGTGGGAAGGCATTTAGTCGTAGCTCAAACCTTATTCAACATGTTAAAATTCATACTGGCGAGAAGCCCTATGAATGTAAGGAATGTGAAAAGGCCTTTAGCAATAATTACGAACTTACTGTACATCAGAGAATTCATACTGGTGAGAAACCTTATGAATGTAAGGAATGTGGGAAAACTTTCAGACTTAGTTCAGTCTTTACTGCCCATCAGAGAATTCATACAGGTATGAAACCCTATGAATGTAAAGAGTGTGGAAAGACCTTTAGTTGTAGCTCGAACCTTATTCAACATGAGAGGATTCATACTGGTGAGAAACCTTATGAATGTAAGGAATGTGGAAAGGCCTTTAGACTTAGGTCAGTTTTTATTACCCATCAAAGAATTCATACAGGTCTGAAGCCCTATGAATGCAAAGAATGTGGAAAAGCCTTTGCTGTGAATGGTCAGCTTACTCGACATCAGAAAATTCATAATCGTCAGATGTCCCATGAATATAAGGAATGTGGGAAAACCTTCACTGGATACGAACAACTTACTCAACATCAGAGAGTTCATAGTGGCAAGAAGTCCTATGAATATAAAATGTGGGACGACCTTTCATCATGGACTGAGATTCACTCAACAGCACAGTATTCCTACTGGTGAAAAACTTTGAGTAGGAGTAGCGTGGAAAGATTTTACAGTCAAAGCAAACACCTTAGTGTTGAGAGGACCTTCTGGTGAGAAAGTCTTTGAATGTAAAGAAATACAGAGTAGCCTTCATGTTCACAGTTTACTAATCATGAAAGAATTTTCCTAGGTATTTTAGTTTCACGCGCTTAGAAAAGCCTTCAAACTCAAACTGGAGGAGAACTTGTTGGAACAAACGTAAGCTAACATCTACCTGAGGCAGGTGCTTTATCACCACTGCCATTTCACTACCTGCATGACATTAGGTGCCTATCCTCTTTGTGCATCATTTGTAAATGGTAACAATGCTGAGTGCATACTAGTGCAATTACGGAAATAATTGTGTTGCAATCGTACAAAATCCTTACAAGAGTACTTGGCACATGCTTGTGTTCATAAAGAACAGCTTTTATGTTTCATTAGCATCATTGTTAATGACACGAAAATTATATTATGGTGTATAATTTAGAAAAATCTCATCTATTCCTTAATTATTAAGTTTTAAATAAGTACTGTATAAAATTTTATGGTAAGTAAAAGAATATGAGGATTTTCATTAAGAGTTCATTCCTTAAGTTACATCAAAAAGTTAATATTGAAAAAAAAGTTAATTTTGAAAAGAAACCCTATGGATTTAGAGAATGAGGAGATGTTAAAAAACCAGCTGTTGAAGAGTCAGTTTTTGAAGTGATTTGTCTATAAAAATAATATGCAGAAAATATATAATTTATTTCCCTGTCCAGAAGTTAAGATAAATATTAGTGAAAGATCAAAATAAAAGCATCCATTTATATATTGAACTTTATCATGAAAATTGCTGCATATATGAAAAGTTGAAAGAATGAACACCCATATACCCCTACATAGATTCAAAGTTGTTAACAATTTGACATTTATTTTTCTGTATATTTTATGTTGTACCATTGAGAATATGTTTTTGACCTCATGATACTTTCCCCTTTATTACTTCAGTATGTCTCCCAAACATAAAGACAATCTCATATAGAGCCATAGTACCATAATTACCCTTAAGGAAATTCTCCATAATTCCACAGTATCTATCTTACCAGTTTCTTCACCAGCCTCTAAGAGTAGGTTATTTAAGGTTCATTTAAATAAATGAACCACAGAGGTTCATTTAAGTAGAATGCATTCCAGATTCTGTACTGTATTTTGTTAGCACTCTATATTTTAGTCTACAACAGTGACTCAAAATTTCCTGGGTATCAGAATCATCTGTGGATCTTAGTAAAAATACAAAGGTCCAGGCCCACTGAACCTTTGTTTTTTCTAGCTGTCCAGGCAATTTTGGTATGCAAAATGGTATCTCTATAGAGAGCCACAGATCTAGAACATTTCCCCTTTTGCAAATATTCTTAAATAATGTTGACTTTTTGAGAAGTCCAGGAAAATTGTCTGCCATGTGTTTAGATTTTTTGTTTCTGTATAGTGTCATTTGGCCCCCTTTTATTCTTTGTGTTTTCTGTACAAAGGAGATGGGGGTGGGGAGCTTCAGCCACATTCCACAAGTTCAGTCATGTTTGCATTTCAATGGAATTCATTCCTGAATAGTCTATTTCATTTTTAAATTTTCTATTTGATTCAGAATTTAAATACATATGATTATAAATTTCCAAAGAGGTGACAGTCTCTCCACAGATCTTTACAATAGAGGTCTGGTGTCATCTGACCCACATGATCAAACTTAGTTTTACTAACAAAGCAATGACCTGTCCTTACATGTTTTCTGACCTGTTGCAATATGATATATAAACATAACCTACAAAGTATTCTCCCCTTAAAACATATAATCTGAACCCAATGGAACCTCTAGGCCCAATTTCCTTTGTTTTGTGCATTTTTTAAAAGATTTTATTTATTTGACAGAGATCACAAGTAGGTAGAGAGGCAAGCAGAGAGAGAGGAGGAAGCAGGCTCCCCACCAAGCAGAGAGCCCAATGCGGGGCTTGATCCCAGGACCCTGAGATCATGACCTGAGCCGAAGGCAGAGGCTTAACCCACTGAGCCACCCAGAGGTCCCAGCCCCTGTGGTTCATATGATTTCAAGATACACCTCAACAATGACCATCAGAGAAATTCGAAGAACAGGCATTATTATAGATCCCAGAAGGCACACCCAAGGGTAACACAGTGCGGTTACAGGTATAGGGAGAGAGAGTTCAGACCTGGGGCTCTGCTTTTATTAGGAACTGAGTGTAGGATGTCGAGGGTTTCACAGTTTCCTTATTGGCCAATTTAAAGCCTGAGCAAGAATTAAGTTACTGGAAGGGAGAAGCAAGGTTAATCAAGTGGTCAATTATCTAGGTTACCCAGGGCTTTCTGAAATAAGGAGCTTCATGAGTGAAGGTGGCCCAATTCCTTCTCTGGTTGTTTTGCTAGTAGTTGTGTCAAACAGCTGGTGATATGTCTATGCAACATGGCTGTCTTTTGAAGTGGGTGCCTCAGCGATGAAGATTAATGTCAGGTATTTACACTATTATCAAAAAACTTAATGTCAGCACTTACTACCCTGCTAGATTTTACACGAATTGCTTTTTCTTTAAATTCATTAAGCTTTTTTATTTTTAAGATTTTATTTATTCATTTGACAGACAGAGATCACAAGTAGGCAGAGAGGCAGGCAGAGAGAGAGGGGGAAGCAGGCTCCCTGCTGAGCAGAGAGTCCTTGGGATCATGACCCAAGCTGAAGGCAGAGGCTTTAACCCACTGAGCCACCCAGGTGCCCCAAAATTCATTAAGCTTTTAAATCACATAAAAAGAAAAAAAAAAAACTACAAAACATTGCATACTAGTTTGTCTTGTTGCCATGTATTTAACTTTATTGAGATCTTTATTTCTCTGTATGGCTTGTGTTACTGGCTAGTGTCTTCATTTGACCTTGCAAGACTCCCTTAAACATTTCTTGCAGGGTAGGTCTAGTGAGCACCAGCTCCTGGCAATGTCTTCATTTCTCTGTCAGTTTTGAAGGGCAGTTTTTCTAGATACAGAATTCTTGGTTGAAAGGTTTTTTCCTTTGGCATTCTGCATATATTGACCCACTGTCTTCTGGCCTCCAAGATTTCTTCTGAGAAATCTGATAATTTCATTGAGTATCCCTTATATGTAATGATTCACTTCTCTCATCACTTTCAAGATTCTCTTTGTCTTTTGAAAGTTTGTAATGTGTCTTGTGGCTCTCTTTTTATCAATTTTTTAAAGATTTTATTTATTTATTTATTTGACAGACAGAGATCACAAGTAGGCAGAGAGGCAGACAGAGAGGAAGCAGGCTCCCAAGCAGATAGCCCAATGTGGGACTCGATCCCAGGACCCTGAGATCATGACCTGAGCCGAAGGCGGAGGCTTAACCTACTGAGCCACCCAGGCACCCTGACTTCATTTTATATAAAGGTTGGTGTGCTTTTTGGATGTGCATGTTTACATCTTTAATCAAATTTGGGACATTTTGGGGCACCTGGGTGGCTCAGTGGGTTAAAGCCTCTGCCT